TTGTTTATTTATTTGATATTTTTTCGTCGTCGTCGTCGTCGTCGTTGTTGCCGTTCTATAATGCCAAATTGAATGCGGACCAATAAAAAGCTTGAGCTCAAAGTGGCTCGTTTTCAAATCGGGGCTGAGAGTTCAAGCGACAAACTGACCGAGAACGCGCCGTTCACAAATTCACCCGACAACAGAAAAGAGAGTGAACAGAGAATAAAACAAGGAAAAAAAACAACAACAACAGCAACGACAACAACAGCGACGAACAGAAATGATGACAATGACTATGATCATCGAATAATAATTTACGGTAAGCGGATCGATAATGTGCAAACGGATCACACAGATGCCTACAAATTCATTACGAAAAATGCGAGAGTCAAAAACGAGGGAAAAACACACCGAGAGAGAAACGGCGTTGAAATGGGAAAGAGAGAGAGAGAGAGAGAGAGAGAGAGTGAGAAAGAGAAGAAAAGGCAGCAAAAACCGATTGTGCAACTCTGCAACAATTGAATTGTGCACAAGCGCATTGACAATATAAATATTGTGACATTCCGGGAGATACACATTCTCAACAGACACTGTGAAGAGAGAAGAGACGACAAAACGACACGAAACAAAAAACAAACCAACAATAACATCGATAGAGAAATCGGTAAAAATCGAATAAAACATTGTTGCTTTTGTACTACTGCTGCTGCTGCTGCTGCCGATTCAGTCTATGAAAAATCCATAAATCAATCGCATGTAATCTATCGAATGCGTTTGAAAGTTATAAAAATCAACTATTTATGAACTTCCAGGCACTTTATTTAATGGATTTATCGTTTTATTTAACTTCTTTTCGCTCTCTGTATCTCCTCCGTATCTCTCTATCTCTTCACTCTCTTTCTCTCTATCTCTCTCTCTGTGTCCCTCTCGGTTTAGCTCACAATTCATCTCTTGCGTATTTCATTCTGTATTGTTTGGTTTTTTTTTTTGGTGCGTCTGATTGTAATGCGTGCCTACGTTTTATGGACTAATGCCTTGTACGTTTGTTGCGTGTGGCAAACCATTGCCATGCCAAAACCATACGAACACACACTCGACTCGAATTTCATTCGAAAATTGGCTACGCAGACACAACACACTCAATCTCACTGTGGTTCTGGTTTTCTTCAACACGCACAGACTTTCTTCCATCCAATGCATATGCGCACATCGCGCTCATAATAAGTGAAACGAACGAATTGTGAACAAAACGGTAAACAAACCGGAGAAGAAATGGATAATAATCGATAATTTATAATGAACATCACCCCATTGATTATGATTTAATATTTCAGCTTAGTTTCACATTCGACAAACGCAAGCGTCAATTGTGAACAATACATGAACTAACCAAATGTTACACACGGTGACACACCGAAAGAACAACAGCAACAACAGTAATAGTAATGACTACGACAACGATGGCGGAGAAGATTTCAAAACAATATCGATTATTTTAAATGGAATGGAAATAAATGTCGCTCCGTGAGAGATGTTCCACTCGATATCCTTCGATTAGTTTCACTGATTTAGCGCAATAGTTTTGAAATAGTGGAAGTTTGACAATCAATATGGAAATCGATGGGCTCGTCGGATATTCCATAAATTCTATTCAATTGGTTTTTTCAATCGAATTATGATTGTAATATTTTTTTTTTTCAAATAAACTTCAATGAGCATCTCTGGTTTGGGACAATTTCCATGTTCAATTCAATTCGATTCGTTAGATCATTTTACTTGTTCAGTAAATATTCCGAAAAAAACAGTCTAATTTCGGAATTTTTACTGCCTTGTGGAGATGAGTTTTTTTTTAGTTTGAACGAAAATGGTTTTTCATTCTGAATAACTTATTCTTTTGGGATTTTTCATTAGTTTTACATTTTCTTTTTCATAAAAGGAACAACAAAAAATCAAAATATTTTTGGACCATTGACGCTAGAACTTCAATTTTGACTGTAAGAATTTTTTTTTCTCGTAAAATAGATCGATTCTTATGTTCGCATTTGGACAAAAAATCAAAAGGATAACATCAAATTCAATCAAATTCTCTGAAGATTGCCACAATAAAACGCCATTGTTTCCGTTGGTCATAAACATCTTTTTGGTGGAAAAATGCAGGTCTCGTCGACATCAAAACTTTCTCTTGCCACAAATAAAAACCCGAAAAAATTCGAAAATACATTTCAGTTGAAATATAACTGAAAGAAGAAGAAGAAAAACCTATACAGGTAAATCATATCGGGAACAATGTTTAAAACCGAATGATAATTTATTTACTTATATTTTTTTTAAAACAGATAAATGTTCGTATCTTTTGAGAGTTGCACTCTTCTGTTCTGAAGCGTTGAATTCGATGCACAAAAAGAAACGCAACAGAGGGAGAGTGACAGAGTAAGAGAGAGAGAGTGAGAGAGAGAGAAGAATCTGGTGACAACAAAAACGTGTGGCACACACGAACAACACAATTTGTTGGCAATGCCATAAAAATAAGACAAACGGCTGAAGGACTCATTGTACGTGTATTTGTATTGATTAGGAAAGGTGTTGTGCGTTCGGTGGCAGAATTGGCTTGATTATTTTTGTGGCTTTGAATTGTGTGTGTATGCCATTACATTATGGTCGATTGTCCTTTTGCTCTTGAGGTTTTTGGAAGAAACCTTTCGAAATTGTTACTTAAAATGTTAAAATTGCTGCAGTGAGTGTGTCATCCCCCAGACAATTCAATTTCAAACACACACTCATTTCCACGAATTGATCGAGCACAAGATAGAGCGTAACAGCATGTTCGTGCAAGGAATTATTCCAATCAGGATTCAAACAATTCTACATTACTCTCTTCAATTCCGAACACCATTCCGCGAACATGCACACATTTCGATTGAAACCAATGAATGATTTCCAAATCACACCAGAAAAAATGAGATAAATTACATTCCGTGACAATGTTAAACGGACGAAACGGTTGACGAATCCAAAACACAGGTAGTTTGATCCGTTCAGATACAGCACGTTCGAAAAGAAGGTTCCATGGAAAAAACCAACATCAACATTCATAAAATGCATCCTGCGTTAAATGTTTTCATTTTTTCCTGTTTGATTCAAATCAGTTCAGGCAAAGTTAAACCAGGAAATGATGAGTATCATGATTTCGATTTAGTATTCCAATGACGTGAAAATGGACTGGATGAAGTTTGCGGCCGAGCGACCGAGAAAAATGAAAACCAGGTGAAATTGAATCATGATCATGGATAAATTCCACTTAAAATTAGCTACGCTCTTGAAATGGCGTGGAAACGATTGGCCTGACACTGCAAATCGACACCACTTTTATTAAATAAACGCTTTATTGTCTCTGATACTTGAAGAAAGCATGAGCTGAACCCTTTTTTCACGTCACAATGAAAGGAAGAAACAGACAGACGAAAAAAATGCACTTAATTTATGACATGTCATCTATGTATGTGCTATAGTTCTAGTGACGAAAGGATGTGTGTGTGTGTGTGTGTGCGCCCGATGTAAATGTGGTGTGTTGAACATGGCAAAAACATCAAATGTGAGATAATAATTTCTAGTTCTAGCTCGCCGAGGGACGAAACCAAAGCAATACACGGCCAAGAAAATAAAAAAGAGGACGAAATGAAGAAAAAAATTATAACGATGTCGACATCAAGCGATTTATTACTATTTACAAACGAGAAATGTGTCAAAGTGACACGATTGAGTGCGTTTTTTTGCAGGAGCTTCAACTCCTCATCTTGCTTTTAAAGCCGATTTAATGTTCTGTTATGGTTGATTCATTCGGTGGCAAAGTCATGAATAATTACCGTCGCGAAAGATGGCAGAAAAAAGTGCTTACCTAAGAGGTCATCATTAAAAACAATGTTTTTCATTTCATTCAGCGTGTTCAACCGTTTTGTTTGGGATATCGAACGGTTTTTCGTTCGGATCGGTCGTGATTATTTTTTTTTCTTCTCTCGAGTGAAAATCATTTTTATTGCATGGAAAATGGTTTACTTACGTCAAATCGGGGACACGAATCAGACGACATTCTAGTAAGAGTGTGAAATGAGACCTGGTGGAAAAAGGAACACACAATTCGGACAACAAACATTGATTTCTATTGAAGCATTCGCTCGCAGCATTCTCGTTACCTTTCAGCCGTTTGTCATATTTGATACGCAGCGATTGGTAACATCGGTAAATTGGGTTACCATCATCATTGTTACATATTCCAATACCAATGTATCGTGTCATCATTGTTACGTTTTCATTTTATGAAACATTTTATTTGTGTTGTTCCTTTGATGCCCTCTTCGATTCATTCGAACACACACACACACACACGGCTGATCCCTTTTCTATTTCTCTGTCCGTTGGTGCGCGCGTTGTTTTGGCAGTTGATCGCTGTTATCGCTTTTGTGTGTGTGTGAGTCGAGTCGACTCTGTTTTGCCATTTTTAGTTGGGAATATGGCAATGAAAAATTGCTTTTCGACCAATTGCCAACAATAGAAACTATTGTTTGCTACATTGGTATTTATGCCGGTACAAATCATTTGGTTTGGGAGAGTGTGTGTGTGTGTCATTCTCACTTTTATTTTCTCTCATTCTTTTTTATTTGTTTAGACACTTCAGCCTAACAGCGTCGCTTTTGTACTCGACTTTCGGTTTTGTGTCACACATTTTGTTACATTGTTGTTGTAGTCTTCGTCTCCTTTTGACAAAGCCATCTCCGAACAATAGCCGGCAATAACATTATTAGATTAATGAATTTTGTAAACAAAATACTTTCTCTGAACACTTAACCAACAAATTCAAATGTATACAAACCAATGATGGCTCATGAAATACACATAAAATACATTGAAGAATAGACAAGGAAAGAGAGCAAAAGGATTCCATTTTAGCCCAACTTTTATTTTCTTTAGATTTTACTTAATAAACTGGATAAATTTACAAAATAAAAAACATCTCACACAAAATAAACAAAAACAATGGACAGTTCTCAGTTTGGTTTTAGATAAACCGTGCACTATTTTTGGTTGTGGTTCGGTGATTTAATGTTTTATCTACAACACTTTGATTTTACATTTTGAGTTTGATTTGCGGTGTCGTGTCGTGTTTATTTGAGTGTTAACGCGAATTTGATTGCACTTTTTTTTATCTTGGGAACCTGCTACAGGAGTGTGTATGTGTGAACAGAAGTTCTGATTGTTTTCTTTTAGATATTTGCACGATTACAAATCATTTGCTGCAACGTTGCTAATTCCTCTCGAAGCGCCAGGATTTGCGCACGAAGAATTGCATTCTCTTGCTCCAATAAAGCCGCACGAAATGCAATCTGTGGAACGTGTAATAATGGGAAACGAGATAGAGAAGAAAATGAGATGAGTTTTCAAGCAAAAACTACAATTCAATCGAATGATAAAAATTGAAAGAAAAAAAATTAAAAAAACTTAATTCAAAGGCGAACTTCTAAAAACACACATTTGAGTGGAATAATAATATTCAAGGGAGAATGGAGACCATTTGGCACTAAAAATGATTAGAAATTCTTTATTTTCACCTTTCTCCGTTGCTTTGAACTAAAACGATCTTGAGTCGAAATCTGCAAGATTATCTTAGTTCAAACCAATGTTTTGAATCTTAGACTAGAGATGTTTCAGCCTACGACTTTAATACAAAATTATTAAGGCTTTAATACAAAAATTGACATTTCGGAAATAAAACAAAGAAATCCAACTTTTTTTTTTCTCATAATTTTGCCTAATTGACGATTGCAGGCATTTCCGCTGTTTTTACAATCAAACATTACAATTTTTTATCAAACGAATATGAGCTTATTTTCAAAAGTTCTACTTT